GTCGAGCTGGATAGGCAAAGTTGACATTATCAAATTGAATATCACCATTCATGTTGATAGCTTCTTCACAAGCAACGGAATCTTGGAATATTTGTGTCTCATTTATACTTGTCTTCTCTTCCTATATTATGTAATGATGAAGAGATATTATCGTAAATCAGGCACAACTATACCTCATCGATCAATCGAAATACAGGCATTAAAGCACCTCGAGCTTCTTCCAATAATTGAAAGAAAGGACTAACAAAGGCAATATTAGTGATAAGTCGTGCCAAAGTAACCACTATCTATTCGAACATCAAGAGCCCATTGCTTCTCGGAATCTGATGGATGAACTGAATAACTTACCACAAGAAGATCACTAAAACTGAGTTTTTTGTGTCCTTCTTGATGCATGAGAGATGAGCCGAAAGCAAAACCAACAGAATAAATAATGTATCCTATTAGATAGATCCATCCAGCAAGAAGACCAAAAGCGGCACCCTTGCGTATACTACTCCAACGAGTCGCCTTCAATTTGCTTTCGTATCTAAATCAAAAATAAAATTCGAACTTGACCATGTTTTATGGTTTATAAAGTTCATTTATTAGTAGATATATTCCCTACCTTTTTTCTTCGACTTTCTCACCATTGAGCGAAAGCACAGTACGAAGAGAACTGAACACCTCTTGAACGACTTCTCCCGCTTTTGAGTACATATCCAATTCGTTTCTTGATTCTTTGGCAGTGAGCTTTTAGAATTAATATCAGCTAAATCAATCATCAATAATTGCATTTACCTCGGAAAAAACGTATGATCCGGCAATAGTTAATGGTACTGTACATAGTATGACAAGTGTCAACTTCCAATTGATGATTAAGGCAACACAAGCACTGCCCATAGTAGAAAATAATGCTACGAGCACCATTGATAATTCAAAACCAATACCTTTACTCAAAGTATCAATGTTGCTATGAAATGAGAAAGCCAAATATTGTTTCTAATACAAGTATTGAAAGAAAATTGCTTACTTGAACAATTTGACACTGAATTGACTAATCGAATTCATATCACAATAGGAAACATTCTAGGAATGAGAGAGAAAGAGAAGTAAATGATCCACATATGCAACAATCAACTATGATGAGATTGTAACGGATACAGCTGAATAAATGGCCTTCTCATGGTTTTTCTCGATATCTCCATTTTTTATCATCTCGCAGATTTAAGCTTTTTTTCAAAAGATACATTTTGTAATTCTTCACAAAATAATATATATGTTTTTCGACGAAAATAAGCCTCTTGATTTTTCAAACACAACACAACTGAGTAGAACCATTATGTATAATTTTCAATCTTTTTTTGTTTTTTAACTTTACTCTTGTAGTATTTTAACTCTTACAATATTGAAGCTTGTATTATGACACTCTCCAGAGTTGGAACCGAACAGCTTTTTTCTGTCCAGTCCGGTCCGGCTAGCAATCGACCGGATAAATTTTACAGCCAAACTGGTAAAAATCCGGCGAAAATAACCGACCATGAAAGTATCTGTTCGCATAAAATGGTGGCGAAAGGAAAATTGAATATTTACGTGTAGAAATCGGAACTAGGGGTGACCAATTTACATTTACGAAAGTTTAATAAATCCAAAAATAAATTTTGTAAGTTTAAATTTATTTTAAATTTAAATTGGATTTACATAAATTTAGATTTTTTAAAATTATTTAAGTTTATTTAAATTTTTTTGAATTTATTTAAGTCCAGTTTAAATCAATATAAATTCAATTTAAATTCATTTAATGGGATTTCAAACCATACGCATTAATTCATATAGGATTTAAATCTAATTAAATGAGTTTAAATTGAATTTAAAAATTTATGTAATTTAAAATAAATTTAACTTTTTAAAATTTACATTTCAAATAAATTTAAACTTTCATATCTGAAAAATTTAAATTGTTTTAAATTCATATTCGCAAAAATTTAAATTTAAAATAAATTAACAGGATATCGGCACCTCTAATCCGAACTGGAAACTAAAACTTGGGAATGAAACTCTTACCATCATATTTTATGGCAAGGTGCGTCAACCTTTCGAGTCAAATATCGATATAAATTAGCTATTGAGGTCAAATCTGTTTTTTCATTTTAGTTTCAAAAAAGGAAAAATAGCAAGTTTATAACAAATCTGATACAAAATTGTAAATATTTATTTTTCTTGATTCAGGCAGCTGCCTAAGTAGAACAAGAAAATAAATTATTTGATCTAGGTTAAATTGAGCGAATACATGAGAAAGAAATCAATAGAGTTATAAAGAGAACAATCAATCGCTTATAGTCAAGTTGAAGACAAGATATCTATTGAGTCTTTCGCAAACACATTCTTCTGACTTAAAAATTTCATAAAAACACCGTTTTCAGTAGAGAAAATTCTTGGATGCAAACAACAATTTTGTAATGATGAACTGGCAAACACTCGAGTCTGTTCGATCCGGTTTAACTTCTTGCCCGGCCTTGTTCGGTTCGGTCCGAACTGGTTCAAACTCTAATACTCTCAGATGTTGTAATTTTTTTCTCTGAATCAACTCATTGTATATAATGCTGGTTTTACCAAATTTATTAAAACTATGAATTGTGAAGGCGTCATGAAATCAACTGCAAGAATGTAAGAGTTTACATGGCACAGGAAAAACTTTGAGAAAGACAAAAAAAGATTACAAATTGTGCGTAATAGTTCCATACAGCTCTGTAGCGTGTGAAAGATGAAAAGACTATATTCATCAAATAAAACAAGCTTTTAACGGAACTCCTATGGGATTAAAATGCAGAATGTGATGAAGTCACTGTAAGCATAATATAGAAGCCTATCTATGCCTACGATAGTATTTTAGGGAACCAATGAGTAATGTATGAAAAATCCCTTGAAATCATCACTGAGCATGATAGATATACTGGGAACTCCAAACAATATTTGTTATGGTCTGTAGAAACAGCGAGAGGGGTCACTTTTTCCATAATTCACTTTAACACTTATTCCCTGTCATATTTTGCAATATATGATTTTGTAGAGAATATCACAATGCATATTTTGAAAGAAAATTTAAGTCTGAATGACGGTAATCAATGGAGATATCGAGAAAACAATGACGAGATCATTTATTCTGTCTCATCCGTAATGTCTGCGTAAGGATGAAGTGATTAACATACGCGTTGTAGGAGTGATTGTAAAAGACGAATACGTATTCGAGAGGCTTGCCGTCTACCGATCATCGTGAATAGAAAGTAACGGACAGCAACACACACGAATTCGATTGAACCGATGACTATGTACATTCAAGATGCAAACCATTCTCTTGTTTAATGCTTGAAGAGTTATGATATTTCTGCTTACTTAATAGCCAGCTCAATTGGTTTCTCACATTAGCATGAAATTCTGTTGTAGACAACGACAATAATGGCACTAAGGTGGTACTCTCATTTAGACAGAGTCTGAAATTGATGAATAATGAATAAAGAAAGGAGCTGAAGTTCATCAACGTATTTTGTAACCATTACTTACTTTTGAGATCGATTATAGTTGAAAGTATTTTGCACAGTATTCCATGGGCATCCTCTGCTGTTGTTAAGAGTAATAGATGTGTTGTTCTGTAGAGGACATCGACCAATGAATGATTGCAACGTAAATGCGCTCGTAAGTCGTGCAAAAACCACAAAACGTGCTGTGAAGGCAATACTGTATAGTAAGATGGCACATAGCCCGAGAAGTATCATGAGAAAATCTAGCCGATCAGCAAAACGAAACTATCGTAGAGTTAAACCAATACTCCATTGTTGAATATGTATTCGCACTTGATTTACTTACCAGTTGGAAATATTCAACAGCTGATCCAGTTCGAATGTGATCATTATTATCATCCAAGTTTTCATACTTCTGATCGAAATGTTTGAAAGCGAAGATTTGACCCCAATCAGACAATCTATATGAATATGACATTATCGTTGACGTCTTTCTAGAATTCAATTCTATCTTACGAGTTAGCTACCGATCGTGTTCTCTTCTTATTACTATTATTATTAGAGCAACGATCTACTTCTGATATTAATGGCTGCTTATCACTCATGGCGTGGTGCGCAAGCTTCTTCCTTTGAAAGAAACCGAAAATGATAATATCTGCGTAGCAAACAAATGTACGAACGATTGATTTGCTTGGTTAAACATATACTTTTGCGCATACATAATAATCAAGGATAATAAACAAAGATACCTCTACTGAATATGGACAAATGGAAAGAGCCATGCGTCGTGCATATAGCTGATCGGTGAGATAAATAGAGAAACAATAGATTAGATTTTTGAGTCATTCATTCACAATAATGCAAAAAATGGATAGAAAAGTCATAAAATACAGCTGTTAGCTTGCTTCAACGACTTTACGTTTATTTTATTTTATTTTATTTTATACTTATAATGTCCTTCAATCAAGTACATATATCTGTATAAAACATACAATAGAGAAGAAAGCGAGAGAGAAAAAAGAAAAGCATAACAATAACGAAGAAATAGAGAGAAAGCAAGGACAGGGATAAGAATAAGTCACCGCTAAGAACAATTTGAGAAGTAAATCTATGAGCAATCCCATGTCGTGAGAATCGTGGTGATTTTACCGATTTGCTCAAAAATACACATAATATCTTGACTAATTCTATTAGCTTGAAAAATCAACGATACAATCAGATTTTATCATGATATTGATACAAAAATCGATTAATCATGATCGCCCAAAAATAGGAATAATTAATTACGATTAAGCGAAATTTGTTTTTAGTCAGGAACAAATTTTTTGTTGCATAGTTAAAAGTTTAAGATAAATACACATAAAATATAGATTACATACATTAGATTGTGGTTTTAGAAGTGTAATTACAGCATAATGAAAGAAAGCTAATTACTACAGTTGATATCAGTAGCATATTTTTCATTTGGTTAGACAATCAATATAAATATCAACGTTTTCGTTCATTCTTTGTATCCATTAGCGGATAACGTTTGAACGTTTAATTCGAATTCCATATGCTTATTCTAGTTTAACATATATACAGGGTGTCCGGAAATTCATTTACCAAAAAGAAAATTCAATATCTTCATTAGAGCTCGAGCAAACGAGCTGATATTTTTGTCAATGATAGAGGCATTCTCAAAGATTATGTCTATAAAGACATGCCCAGAGAGATCCTTTTATATGTATTAGTATTGACCTCAACAAAAGAATTTTACTTTTTCACAGATAGAGAAAAAAACAATATACAGAGTGGGGCAAACGTCATTTTGCCAAAAAAAATTGATTATCTCCATTACGGCTCGGGCAAACAAGCTGATTTTTTTATGAATGATAGAGGTACGTTCAAACTTTATATTCATAAAGACAAGCGTAGGAAGACCCTTTGTTAAGTATACTGTTTTTTTCTCTATCTGTGAAAAAGTAAAATTCTTTTGTTAAGGTCAATACTAATACATATAAAAGGATCTCTCTAGGCATGTCTTTATAGACATAAACTTTGAGCATGCCTCTATCATTGACAAAAATATCAGCTCGTTTGCTCGAGCTGTAATGAAGATATTGAATTTTCTTTTTGGTAAATGAATTTCTGGACACTCTGTATATTCTTTCTATTGCAAATAATTGAGTTGTTACTAAAGGTCTAATGAACTTTTATGAA